ATAATAATAATGATGATAATAATAATAATAAATGTTTCTTGAGCAGCAAGTCAGCATATTAGAATGATTTCTGACGGATCATGTGACACTGAAGACTGGAGCAATGATGCTGGAAATTCAGCTTTGCAACACAGGAATAAATGACATTTTATATATTTATATAGAAAACAGTTCATTTCATTTCATTTATTTCACAATATAACAGATTTTACTGTATTTTTGACCAAATAAATGCAGCCTTGGTAAGCATTTTGATTTCTTTCTGGAATAAAATCGTACTGACCCCAAACAGAGTGTATTTTTCTACATTCAGCTTTTAGTATATATATATATATATATATATATATATATAATTGTATGCTTAGGTGGTATCATAGCATGATACACAAAATGTTTAAGTATTCAACCGTTTATGTTGTTATATTAATTATTTAAAATGACCTTAATTAGATCTGAAAGATTACAGAAAATCTGCATATAATTTATATTATATATTTAACAAAATTGCAAGCTTCTTTTTATGAAATGTGACTTTAATATCCATATAGTTTTTAGGACCACTCTAGATTAATATTGACTAAGTATTAATACAATGAATATGAGTATTAATATTATTTTGGCCATAACACACACACTACCATTCAAAGGTTTGAGGTTGGTAAGATTTTTTTTCATGTTTTTGAAAGAAGTCTCTTATGCTCAACAGTATTTTGAATAATATTGTGAAATATTATTTCAACATTTTTTTCTATTTGAATATATTTTAAAATGTAATTTATTCCTGTGATCAAAGCTGAATTTTCAGCATCATTACTCCAGTCTTCAGTGTCGCATGATCCTTCAGAAATCATTCTAATATGCTGATTTGCTGCTCAAGAAACATTTACTGTTATTAACTATGTTGAAAATAGCTTCTTAATATTTTTGTGAAAACCGTGATATATTTTTTTCCAGTATTTTTGAGTAATATAAAGTAATAGGAAGTTCAATATACTGCATTTATTTGTAATATAAATCTTTTGTGGAATTGTAAATATCTTTTTGACGAGGTTATGCTCAAAAGTATTACTTTAAAAAAGAAAAGAAAAAAATCTTACTGACCCTAAACTTTTTAACGGTAGTGTATAATTTATTATATATTCGCACACAGCTAATCACATTCAAATATTCTCATATATTAAATACAGATTTTGCAGGTGGGACTGTGACAGGCTGCCCTAGATAGCACAATGTTTATTATTTATTTATTTTTTATTTAGTTTTTTAACAGAGTTTTGCTATTTAACATTTACTCTGACACATGTATACATATACCTACTCTGCTCTTCACAGCTTTCGTGCTTGGCCCTGCACTTGCTGTAAATCTACTCTAGGCTGTGGCAATGCAAGGCTTGTAGCTGTGCATATAGAGTAGGCTCGCTTATATACTGTAGGAGCTGTGTTTGCAGTACAGGGGTTACATTGATGAGCCAGGCCATTGTAACTGCTGTAATGCCTCATTCTGTCCTGTAATGCTTTACAGTAAGAGTAAGATGTTTTACAAGAACTAAGGGGGGGGGAAGTTTTTATGGTGTCTGATGTACGTTAAAGGAAAAAATATATATTTAAATGGATAGTTCACCCAAAAATGAAAATACTGTCATCACCCTCATGTCATTCCAAACCTGTATGACTTTTTTTTCTTCTTCTGTGGAACATAATAGAAGATATTTTGAAGAATGTTGGTAACCAAATAGTTTCAGTTTTGTCCAATGGAGGTCAATGGGAACCGAAACTGTTCATACAAAACAGTCATACAGGTTTGGAACGACATCAGGCTGAGTAAATGATGACAGAATTTTCATTTTGGGGTGAATTATCACTTTGAAGAAACGTATGACATAATCTCTATTCCTTCTGTCTGTTTTGAAGGTAAAGTGTGTCATTTCTAAATTTTGGTGAAAATATATTGACTGTTTTCAAACAGGTTGCCCCAATCTGGCAGTTGTCAGACGAACAGAAACTCAGACTGGTCAAACAAACAAAAGAGCTTGCCTTGATAGCACCACAGAGCTACTAGCCTAACATGCAAATGGATTATAGTTGTCTCAGCATATTAAGAAAGTATAGCAAAAAAAAAAAATAATGACTCTTTGCCTTTAAGAATCCATGTTCACTTTGATAATCTTTCTGAGAAGGTCTTATATCATGTCATCACATATAGTGTCACCGCCGGCAGATGTTAACACAGTACATGTGTTAGTACCTAAAGGTGGATCAGCAGTATGAACACAGACTCTGTGGTGGCAGATATATTACATACTTCCAGTGATCTGCTGTTCTTTGTTTCTAGGGCACCGCTGGGCCGGATCCCACCACAGTATATCTAGACATGAGGGCCCTGCGGCATGACAGGTGCTATATCAAACACTTCTGATTTTCATGATGCATATACTGAATGTGTCAATTAATATTCAGTTATTTATTAACTAATATGTAAATCATTTTTGTCTTTTAATTAGAAAAGTTCAGTTATATCTGATCTGTTTTTTCTCATTGCTCAGGGTTCGATTAGTCGAGAGAGGCTCACCGCACAGTCTGCCACTCATGGAATCTGGGAAGGTGAGATATTTATATATACAGTATATATATATATATATATATATATATATATACATATTTCATAAATAATAAATACACTACTGGTCAAAAATTGGAATAATTACAATAATTAATCCAAACTTTTGACTAACAAATGTAATAAAAAAAAAAGTATTTATTTATTTTATTTCTCAACACAGATTCTTCCTGGGGTAAAGGTTATAATTGCCAACACAGAGACCAAAGGCCCTCTAGGAGATTCTCATCTGGGAGAAGTGAGTTTCAAATATGAAAGCGAGTGTTATAAACTACATCTGACCTCCAAAATAAGTAGTGTTACCAGCAGAGCCTGGTAAATTATCTCTGCATTTTATATTATCATGTGTAGTGAGTTGATGGGACTGTATTTAAAAACAGATTTGGGTGAGCAGCCCCCATAATGCCACAGGATACTATACGGTTTATGGGGAAGAGGCGTTGCACGCTGACCACTTCAGCACCAGACTGAGCTTCGGTGACACCCAGACGGTTTGGGCTCGCACTGGATATCTTGGCTTCCTGCGTCGCACAGAACTTACAGATGCCAGTGGAGGTACTGTATGCATGAGATGAAAACCAAACACACTAGTGTCCCATTTCAAGATATTTCTGATACGACTTTTCAATTTAAAATCACGTTCAATAAAAAGCTGTTTCAATGAACAACACCCTGTCACCCACATCAGTTGTGCTGTCTAATGAATCAATTATGTTTTTGCACATGATTCTAGAGCGGCATGATGCCTTGTACGTGGTTGGTTCTCTAGATGAGACTCTGGAGCTTCGGGGAATGCGTTACCATCCCATCGATATTGAAACATCGGTCATAAGGTCACACAAGAGCATTGCAGAGTGGTAAGCAATATTTTGTAAATGTTTTCCTTGTACCTCACACAAGCAGATTTTAATGGATAAACGTTTCATTTAAATCTTTACTCAACTGTAATATAAACTCTCCTTTTAACTGTTTATAACAACTGAACATTTGATCATTTTCATTGTCCAGTGCATCCATGACACCAGCTTAAAATTACCATTCTTAATCAGAATCTTTGAAAACATTTAGACATTGTTCAGTTTCCAAAATTTTGCAGAAGTATTAAAGGACATCTTGAGTTAAAGACACAATAAGAATCTACACAATCTGTGGCATGCTGTCGGTTATCTTATTTCCTGGAACATACAGCAAGTTGTGGTATTTTTGTGATCTGAACGTTCCAAGACAATGACTACATGACTATAATTGTTGTTGACCAGTCAAACACACCTACACACAACTGGGCCAGCTCTAGCATTGATAACTAAATATACTTAAAAAAAATAGCTTATACTTAGTGCGAACTGAATGTAATGTTTTTGGACACTTAATTACATGTTAATTGCAATTAAATCAAAATATATTATAGTTTACATTTATAATAAATGCAATTAGCTGAACTTTAGAGCGCTTTGTTGGCCCAATTGAGTAAGACTGAAATACATCTTTATATGTAATTTCAGAATTACCTCTGTTGTCTTTTAAATATGGTTAAAGTGTACTGTTGAATGTACTGACAAACAATTATAGTAAGCTAAAATATACTTCATTGTCATTTCTATTGAAACTTGGGTAACACTTTATTTTAAGGTGTCCTTGTTTAAATACATCTTTATATGTAATTTCAGAATTACCTCTGTTGTCTTTTAAATATGGTTAAAGTGTACTGTTGAATGTACTGACAAACAATTATGGTAAGCTAAAATATACTTCATTGTCATTTCTATTGAAACTTGGGTAACACTTTATTTTAAGGTGTCCTTGTTTCACACGTTACATGTACTTACTATTATGATAACAGTTAATTATGGATAATTACATGCAAGTAACCCTAAACCAAACCCTAACCCTATAGTAAGTACATGTAGTTAATTAATATTACTCAGTACTTATATGTATAATTACACTGTAACAAGGACACCTTAAAATAAAGTGTAACCGAAACTTGTATTTAATGTATTTAAATATATTACTTACACATTTGTAATGAAGAAGTTCAGTATAGTATATTTAAAATGTATTAACTTTAAATGTAAAACTGAATAACACACGACTGTTAAAACAAGTACTTTGCATGTGCTTTAGTATGTTAGTCAACTTTTAGTAAAACTTTTAATTTGACATTATTACAAAGGGCACTTTTTAAATGTGCACTTAAGTGTGTTAAGAAACAGTCATGAAAGTGTGCTCCCTTTAAGTATAAAGTGACTTTTTATTTCATTAATATTATATCTGCATGTACAGTTTTTTTTTTTTTAATAAACTTTTCAGATTTGAAGTACACTACAAGTGCACATCAATACAGTCAAGTGCACCTCTTTTTCACAAGGACTGGTCTGCTCATTATCAAACTCAACTAAAATGTAGTCAGCTAACATTATAAAGAGGAACTGTTGTTAAAAGAACAAGTCAACAACATTTTCTGTGATCATTGACTGCATGCCACGAATGCTGTCGACCAAGTTTCGTTTAACTGGAAGCATTCCTTTAAGACTTCCTGAAGGCTGTGTTTTCCGTATGAATATCTTGCTCTATAAGATGTTTCATTTTGTTCCAGTTTGTGTTTGATTTGCTTTTCCCGACAGCCATGTTTTGCAGTGTAGATATTCTGCTTTTCTTAATTAAATACAGCTTTCATCTTCTCACTCTCTCTCACCCTCTCCTCAGTGCTGTGTTCACTTGGACGAATCTCTTGGTGGTGGTCGTGGAGCTTGAGGGGTCAGAACAGGAAGCTCTGGATCTTGTTGCCCTGGTGACCAACGTGGTTCTGGAAGAGCACTATCTCATAGTGGGGGTCGTTGTGGTGGTGGACCCTGGAGTCATTCCTATCAACTCCAGAGGGGAGAAGCAGCGCATGCACTTGCGGGACGGCTTCCTCGCTGACCAGCTAGACCCTATATATGTGGCCTACAACATGTGAGAATGTGTAACATGGAGGAGGAAACAAATGCCAGAAAAATCTGCATATGCAAATTTACAATGGAAGTGTTGGGGGATGTTCGGATGTTAGGACAGGCTTGCCTCTTCCTCCGCAAACATGAAGAGTCCTTGATGGAGCTATGCAGTTTATTTTTTATATCAAACTGTCAGAATGCCTTGCAAATAAAACTCTGATTCAGTGGTCAGGGCAAATGACTTGATTTCATCTCCTGTTTTCTTGTGTGACTTAATTATGAGTTCAGTTTTTATTCAAGCACACCTGTTCTGCACATACGACACATGCGTGTTGAATGTTCCCTGTGTGTGAGGAGGAGTGCCTGATGTCAAAAACAGGATCCATTTTTGTTTGGTTTGTTCTCTCTTTACATCAACATGCAAATCTTTGATAAATGTTTTATCTGGAGACCAAATGGCAATAAGGAAATGGATATCTGAGTCTTTGTTTGCAAGAAAGCAGTACTGAAAGTGTACTGTGGAAATGCTGCTCCATAAATTCACAAGCTTATGCATTCCCAGCTAGTGTTTCAACATGGGCCTTAAATATTTTCCATATGCCTGTGGACTGCTTGTTATTTGTATTTAATTTCCCCCCCATTCTTTATTAAAATGTTTCATTCATGTGTGAGCTTTTAGACTGTGCAGGACAGGAATCAGTGTAATAACAGTGAATAGATGACGAGTCTTATTCAGGTAACCAAGTCCCAGTCTGAAATATATTTCTGCTCAAATTTACATTATGTACAACATTTCAGGTTTGAGCAATTTTTTTACAGTATGACATCACCATTCACGACTGGATTATCTTATATTCCTGCAGATGAATGTATGAAGGTGACATTTTTAGTCTCCTACATATTACTGATTAAAAAGAAAGTAGCATTTTTCATTAATTCATTAAAACATACCAAACAGATGGGATCGTTATTTCAGGAAAAAATGACCACTGCAGGTGAGGGCTTTTATTCTTCTTTTCATTACTGTGTTAAAGTGTGATATTTGCTTGTATTTTTCAGACGCACTGTACACCGCATTGGCCAGCACTGTAAAGATCACTTCTAACAATGCTTGCTTTCTTTTATTGTGTTCATTACGTAAAGGACAGGCAGTACGCCTGCTGTAATTATGTACAGAATGTGTGTAATAAGTTATTATTGGGACAGCAGAAAACGACAAATACTTTTGGCATGGTTTTTGCAGTGGCATGGAGGAAACCAGATGCTGCTCAAATCGAAGCTTCATTTCTTGATCAAACAGAAAGGGGAACAACATGAGACACTATTCATGTAATATTGTATATTGCAGTAGGCTCAAGAAGTGGTTTTGCTGCAAGGATTGTAAAGCACATACAGCATCTGTATCGCAGGATGGTTGTGTGACTGTTAGTGTTCGATTTTTGCAGTTTTGTCATTTAGTGAATATTTGGTTGAAACACCTTTTGAATTATGTTAATATTTCTTAATAAAAACCATGCATTTAAATGACTGACATTGAAAATGTTTAATTCTAAAGTGATGTTTAATGCACATCTTGCAGACAATTTTATGCAAAGAAACTTACATTGCATTTAAGATAAATGTGTGGTTAAATGAGCTGCTCCAACATGCAGCCAGAGCAGCTTGAGGAACTTTGAAATAATCCTGCTTGTTTTTTTGCTCATAGTTTGGTTCTGAAAAGCCAAAGCACTCTGCAATGGCCCACTGACTTTGTTTAATTCCAGATGAGATGTGCATGCTGTAGATGGTTTTGGATGGTTCTGCTGTTTTTGACATGAGGGAATCTTGAACATGTCTGTGAAAGTTTTCCTTGCTTACCATGCTATTCTCTGTGTATTTCTTCTCAATAAGGAAACATTTTGGTTGTTTTCCATCTTCACCGATTTCTGAGAACTGTATTTTTTTGATGTGTTTCAAGAAGAGAATTAATCCTTCAGGATCTTCGGTCAAGGCACAGTAAAGTTCCTCCATGTCACGATCTGTGATTGTATGTCTAGATATTTCCGATTTTTCTGCCATTTTCTCTGTTCTGAGAGGGAGCCTGAACATGGTTCCAGATTTGAGTGCAAACATTTTTGGAAGAAAGGTATGATAAACATCCTCAAAAGACTTTTTAAATTCGTCTTGCATTGAAAACATGCAGCCTGGGGACTGTTTTGTTACACCTTCCACGTATTTTAGATTTGGATCAGAAATGCAGAGCCATTTGTCACCAGTCAGGATAGATGGACAGTCTGTTAAATGATACACTGAATTGAAGCCAAGTCCATATTTCCCAGTTCTTCCTAAACTTCCATGTTTTCCTCCTTCCCCCAGCTGCTGAATACCTTGCAGATCAGCATCAGAAAATGTTCTGTTGTTGTACACACAAAGTGCCGGGCCTTGAGCCAGTTCCCATTTCTTTCCAAATATCTTTTTTGTTTCATGTTGTCTTTTGTCCCACACAAAGTGAATTTCTGTTGCCTCTGCATCATCAGCATTTTGAATGAGCTCTTTCAGAATATCCTTTTTAGATGGATATGCATCAATTATATTTTTTATTCTGACAGTTAGTTTCTCGGTTTGTCCAAACTCCTTGGCATGGATTGAAAACCCACTGACCAAATGATTCTTCAGAGTATGGTGTCTTGTTGTCATTACTCCAAAACGACAGGCCACAGTACGAGGTATCAGGTCATGGGAGAGCTTGACACCAGCTGAGTCAGGCATCCATGGGCTGTCATTAAATCTCAGCTCTTTAGAAGATGTCAGCACCCTTCTCTCATCAGGTATGAGACAGTTTGTAAGCTTTTCTTCTTTAATTTTGAACAGCCCATTCACGAGTATTGCAACACAGTTATGGAGGTCTGACGTGGAAAGAGGCTGAGATCCATATAAAGCCTTAATTTCCTCAAGTGCAGTAACAAATTGCTCTTTTGTGAATTGTTTTTTGACACCAATGCAGTCCCAGAGCCTCTCAAATTTGGAGAAGATGACTGGAAGTACATAGAGATATGGTTTCTTTTCAAATTCTTCACTTCTGGCCACTGCCTTCACATTTACAAAGTGATCCTCAATGAAAATGAATGGAAATGATTTTGCATGGACAATAATTGGATTAGGATCTTTCTGTTCCAACAAGTAATTGTTGAGATATTCATAGCAAGACTGAGCAATGTTGAAGAGATCAGTCTTTTCAAATCCATTGCAGTATTGGTGTGCTTTTAACAGCTGCTGAAGCACCGTCTCAACTTGTGGATTTGTCCGTACTTTCAATTTCTGGAGAACTGAATCATAACTATGTAGTTGAAGTTTTGAATGATCAACTGTGAATTCTGTCATGCTTACTAAATTTCGACAACTTTTACTGTACACTTCAGAGGGTTTTTTAAGAACGGTGTTGTTCTTGTTTTTCTGAACTAGAGAAGATAAGGCAGGAAGGAATGGTATTTGAGACAGTGTGTGCCAGAGCAGGGAATTTACATCTTCTGTGGAGTCTTTCATTGACTCTATGAGACACTTAAGACGTTTTTGACATTTAGATTGGTCCTGTTGCCAAACACTGGATATCTTCCCAGCTCTTTCTATGATGTCTTCCAAAGGGAGGCGGTCACTCAGCATTCCCAAATCGGAAAGTCGTTGAATTATTTTTGGTGAGAAATAGTTATTTGCAGTTCCCTCAAGAAATCGTCCTTCCTCAAGTTCATACAAACAAGCCACTTTGCCAGAAGGATTCACAAGTCGCTTGATAAATTGAAGCTTCTGACATTTCTGTGTTGGAATGCAAGGGTAACTTTTCAGTATGTCATCAACAGCAGGATCATTCAAGTCGATGGCATTCAGAACAAGCACATTTCTGTTATGTGTGTTCACAGCACTCAAGTTCTTAAACACAATGCTATAAAACTCAGGCCAGTTGATCGTTTTCTGTTTGATCATTTCCTTGAAGCCACAATAACTGAAACTGTCTCTTACCCATGTTGGGAGAGAAACAACACAGGAATATGAAGCTCCCAAGCTCAAGAACACTTTCATGGCAATGTCTCCAACTGCTTGGTTCTTCTGAATTTTTGGATTCAGAAATCTTGCCTTGTCCATAGAACACCAATTATGTCCATTGCTAAAAAGATCCAGAGATTTACCATTACCATTCTGCGCAACTGCTGAATAGAAAGACTCAACCAGGGGTAAAAATGCTTTGCTTACTCTCTCTACATTAGGCCAGAATGCATAGAAGGAATAGTTCTGGATGTGTCCATTTTGGGCCATTTTCTTCAGCTCAAGCAGTGTTGTGATGTAAGCAGAGGTTACAGCATCTTTAAGTAAAGCTTTGTTCCACTCAGACTTCACTCCTTTTTCCCATAGGCCTTTCCTATTTGATGTGACTGCGAAAGTCCCATTCACATGAACTGGAAGACCTGTCTCAATTGAGAGAGGAAGAAAACAAAAAGCCTGGCCAAAGAGGCTTTCGTCAGGAGACCATGTATTAGTTTTTGCCTCTCTATGCAAAGGTACAGCTATACCTCCAATTGGAAATGAAAACACATGCTCTTGATCATTTCTTTTCTGGAACATTTGCAAGGAATCGTGTGTTCCAAAACACGAGTACAAAAGCCAGTACTGGGTGAGGGAACTCTCTGAATGCTCCTGAACTATTTGAACAATGTGTCCTCTGTTGACATCAATAATGTTGTGGCATGTGATATCAGTATTTCTGAATGTGCTCTTGATCTCTTGGAGAAATGTATCATTCGAGACAGCAAAAGAATTCATGACCTTTCTGGATATTTTGAGAGGAGTCTGAATCTGATCATTCATTGGAGGAGTCGATGCATTTTCAGGGACAATTTGAAGGGACAGAGATGTAATGCTTTTGAGAAACAGTAGGTGAGTTTGTGACTTGTCAGTCAAATGATTTTTAAAACTCCTAATGCGATCTTCATCATATACCTTTGAACTGATCTCTGACTTGTTTGCCTCCTCCAGAGTGCGAAATGGTAATTTAATCAAGGTGCCATTATAGGATTTCTTGCTGTTTTGCACTGACAGATCACAATCAAAAATGCCTTCATAAGATTTAAACTGTCCAGGAAACCTTTTGTACAGCCGTTCCTGGAATGGGTCGAGTTTAATTCCAGGGTTTCCTTTGCTGAGTATGTGCTTTTCCAAATGGGTGATATTTGGATCAAGTATGAGAAGGCTGTTTCCACTCAAAATTGAGGGAATATCACTCACATGGTAAACAGCATTAAATCCAAGCCCAAACTTTCCAATCATCTTAACTTTGTTTTCCTTTGATGCTGATCCCACTTTGACAATGTTTCTCCAGTCTTCTTGTGAAAAGAGCTCATTGTTGAAGATCCAAAGGCATGGTCCATTGCAGAAGGCCATTCCATCATCAATGAGGGTTTCAGGGGGGTCTCTGTGTTTTCGGAAGTCAAGGAGGAATTTACATGTGGTTGCCCCAGCATCCTCAGCATTTTGTAGGAGTTCTTTGAAAATGTCACTTTCTTCATCATACTCTTTAAGAATGTTCTTAATTCTTTGAGTAATTGGTTCAGATTGCCCACATTGTTCTATACCAAATAACTCTTGCTCTGCTTGTATTAACTGTGGGTTTAAGATGCGAGTACTTAAGAATGGGACTTTCAACCATCTTGCAGTGAGGAGTTTAACTTCCTCATGAATGACATAAAATTCCTCATTGTCTTGTTTCAGGTCATCTAGTGCTTCAGCACTTATGTCACAGAAGACTGTTTTGGACAAAGACTGGAGAGTAAATTTTTGGTTTTGTGCCATGACAGGTACAGGTGTGCTGTCCTTTAAAAGCTTCTCATTCTTTCGTATCCAGTCAAGAATGGCAATTGCCACTTCAAGTTCTGTCAAGTCTCCATGAGGAGGACACCTGCGGTCAATTCTATGTTTTATGTCATGGAGTATGCCTTCAATCTCCTCATCAGACAGTGTTTTCTTCACACCAAATTTTGTTAGCAAGTTTTCATATCGCAAAAACTCCTCAGGCACTTTCTTGATGTAAGGGCTTAGATCCAATCCAGGTGGATAGGCTAAAACTATATCTCCTGGACAGACAAACTCACTTTTATTCCAGATCCAGGGGGTGTATTCTGTGTCCATTAAATCTCTGAAATTTATCATGTTGTCCTGCATGAATTTATAGATACTGTGCAGCTTGGTTTTAAACTGAAAATCTGAATTTGGGTTTACCATTGATCTCAGTGCAGAGAGGTTCTCCAAGACTTTTTCAGCAGGAGGGGGCTCATAAAGTCCAAGACTGTTGCACACATGTTTGTTTAGCTCAGAGCTAAGTGGCATTACATATCCAACAATTGAAGAATACACTGAATCCCTAACTTCAGCAGGCTTATACAAACCTCGCTTTAGATTTCTACAGATGCTTCCATTCAAGAACTCTGGATTTTCACAAGGCACCCACTTCCTTTGCATCAACTCTCCTATCTGCATCTTGGTGAATTTGGAAAGGAAATCATTCACATTCAGTACATGAACAAGAGTATGTGCTTTTTTGAATGCCTTATCTGGTGAGTGTAAACAAAGCTTTTCAATATGATTTATGACTTGGAGTATGTTTGCTGTTGATAGTTCTTTTTGGTCTGTCTTTAAGCCAAGACGTTGCAAACTCTGAAGCATTTCCTGGGTCTTTGTGTAAATGGGTGGGGGAAAGAAATCTCCTTCAAAAAGGTCCTGGAATGTCTTGTTTCTTGGATCGAAAACATTTGAGGCTTGTTTGCGTTCTCCCTGAGTTGTCTCAATAAAATTGAGACTTTTTGTTTTTGTGAACAGCTGCTCACTTTGTGAGAGTAGAATGCTACCATTATTCAGAATCCAGGTCATTATTGTCTGTTCCTCACCGTTTTTGAAAGAGCCTGTCTTAATGCAGTCAACCAAATGAACAGCCACTTTAGCTGCATCCAAGAGTTCAATATTCAAAAGAGTCAAAAGTCTGCGATCAGCTTCATTTGCACACTGTACAATGGTGTCAGGCATTGGCAGATCATTTGGAATGGCTGGATTGGTGGTTGAAACAACTGCTTGCTTTGATTTAACTGCAACATATTTCCCAGACATCATTTTGAAGATTGGCAACATGGAAAGTAGGTTCTGTTCAGCAACTGAGAGAGAATCCAAAGAAGAGAGGTACACTTTCAACTCCTCTCTTTCATGTGATGAAGCAGAGGCAATGCCTTTGATGACCTGATCTCTGTTGGAGTTCACAATGACTTGTAGAACATTTCTTGGTGAAGCTGGAAGAACATAACTCTCCATGTAATGATGTCTAAGACACTCATCTCTTTTTATGACTGTACATCCCACCATCCTTAACACTTTCTGAACATTATTTGACAAGTTGGACCCTGTGCTACTCTGAAAGATCAAAGTTGTGTTACTCTGCAACCTTGCTAACAATATAGAATTGCCTGAACTCTGCAGTGGCTCCAGTGGTATTAAAGGCATGTTAATAAAGCTGCTTAACTCATTCCATTCAGCGCCAAGAAACTTCCAGAATTCAACCAGCCAGCTCTTTGGTGGATGATGATCTTCTGTTGTTTTCCATGTCACATGACCTTGGGTCACTTTCCAGTCCATGGGTAAGTGCTGCTTTGTGAGTGCAACAACATGTTGTGCATCCAAATTGATTATGTTGTATATGCCTGAAACACACACACACATAATATTAATTTCATATTATTATAAGCATTCCCAATAAAATATATGAAACTATTTTCTTACTCCTTGTTGCTAGTTTCCTTAATTGCACAGTGCAAAAATGGCTCAGATCGTTGGGTAAAAACCTCTCTTTACAAAATGGCAGCAATGTTCTAAATAAAGAAAACAATTTGATTATTACTATTCTGACAGCACAATATAAACACACTAAATAATTAAAGTAGGAAAGAGACAAACTTTACCTTGGAAACTTCTCATTGTCAATCAAAACAGTCTTCTGCATTCCATTGCCAAATGAAGTGAAGGTTCCATCACTGAGAGGAAGAAGCTTAAGTCCTTGTAGCTCTGTGTACTTTTCATCACTGAGAGCAAATTCAAGAAGAGAGTATTTGTCATCTTTACTGAGATTTTCAGCCTCACTTCTGTGAAGGACATCTCTAACATAAGATGGAGTCACCCATGTCAAGGTATCACTTTCAGGGAAGATTTCTTGAACATCTTTCAAAACATGTTCTGGGACTGTGACCAGGTTCTCTCTTTTAGCAATCAATAATCTTGACACTGCAGACATTGTGTCACTACGTATATTGTTTACTGGAAAAACTGCGTCTGAGGGAGACACCCAGATTTGCTCATTATCAGCAAGGTGAAAGATCTTGTATTCAAATAGACCTTTCAGAGTATTCGTTGCAACTTTATGCCACCTCTCTTTATGTACAGTCTTCGATAGGTCGGGCCAAAGATTGTACACAGTAGGGGAAGGCAGGGCTGATTTTTCAGATAATTGAATGGCATCTCGGATCATCATGAGATATACATGGGGAAGAATATCTTTTGTGAGCAGCTCATTCCACATCGCAGACTCATCATTCTTCTGATCCTCCTCTTGCCACTTGATGAACCTCCGATTGTCTGTCAGGCCAAAGCAAGCATTGATGTGAATGGGAAGCCCAGTTTTGTTTGGTTCATTATTTGGAAGTGGCAGAAAGCAACTTAGTCGCCCATTGCAAAGTGATCTGTCTTCATCTAATCGAAATGCTGCATCAACTTGAGGGTAGAAGCTCAGCTTATTAGCTAGACAGTCAATCTCTGGTATATGTCCCTGTTTCAGAAGGCAAGTTGTCACAAGCCACTGGGACCTTGTTTCTACCATTTGCTGGCAAATCTGTGATACTGTTTTAAAACATGTTTTTCTGTCAAACAATTCTTTCTTGATATAAGAAAGGTCAGTGATAAAGTTATTTGACACTGAAACTTTGAGCCTATTGTTGCAGAGGCCATTGGTGTCAATATGTAGCAAAGTAATGGATGACACATTTCTCAGGAAAAGAAGACTGATGTCCGCATCAGCAATGAAACTGTCAAATAGCTGATTAACTTTTTTGGAGTCATATAAGTTATCTGAGATCTCTGAAGCCTCATTACGCAGAGGGAAACGGAAGAGCGTTCCTTTAAAGTATTGCTCCTCACTGATGACCTTCTCCCAGGAACAACTGTTGACTTGACTGACAATATTTTGAAAGGGCTGAAACTGATCTCTGAATTTCAAAAGGCTCTCTCTGTCCTCTTCATCATTCAAAGACCATCGATAGCCTTCTTCATCCTCTCCAAACATCTTCTTTTGTGGGTCAAAAATGGCTAGGTGCTCAGAACTGACGACACATGGCAAGTCTGTAAAAAGCAATACAAATATATTTTTTTAATTGTTAGCATCACTAGTGTTGTGCTAAAGCCCCTGTCAGAATCTAACATCCAAAGTACCCTGATGGCCAATTATTTGTTAAAATTGATGTTGCAGTCAGTCAGGTAAATGCAATCAGATTGTTGATAATACACTGTAATCAGGATGCACCGATTCTGGCCAATAGAGATATTACATTTATTTTTATCCTGAAATTAGCACTTTATAAGGATCACAACACCATTATAATAAACAGTCACACTTTTTTAAGGTTCAATTCTCACTATTAACAAACCGTAAACTACGACTAATAAATAAACTCCTAATTTGCTGCTTATTAATAATTAGTAATGTAGTTGTTAAGTGTAGGTATTGGGTAGGATTAGGGATGTAGAATATGGTCATACGGTACAATACATATGGTAGAGCAGGTCCTACCAGATCAAAGTTACAAATGGTCATACAAAAATTATCAAACAAAAAACTTTAACTATTTAGCCTATTTATTTAGGACTAAACAGTGATTTTGACCTAGTTTTGGATATCTGAGATACAGTTTGAGATACAACAGTGGCGACTGGTTTTTTTCAAAAGAGGTGAAGCACAGATCTCTGTTATTAATGGCAAAGTGTTTTTAAAAGTTTGATTTAGTATAAAAAGTAATTAACTTAAATAACTAAAGAACTCAAAAAAACATTTACAAATAGAAGATAAGCTGCAAAACTTCTTCATCGCTGTAACATGAATAAGGAAGGATAGGTACCCAAACAAATGCAATACCCCTAGAGTGTAATATCCTTTGCTGCAGGCTCTAAAATAAGTTTGTTTCTAGTGTGACCATCCTTTAAATCTGCTCCCATTGTTTTCAAATACCTTGATATTTTCTGAGCTCTTCAGTCCACAGGCTGTCAGTCTCATAATGTCTCTCATCATGAATAAACACCACAGTTGAAGCTCCTGCATCATCTGCATTCTGTATCAGCTCCTGATATTTTATTAGATAATTATTATTGACAGATGATATATAAGGTGCATACCATTTGATGCAAAATGATTCATGCAATATGTACATATTTTTTTTTATTTTTTTTTTACCTACCTTCAATATTTGTCCCCCATCTGGGTACCTTCTCAAAATTTCTTTCAAGTAATCAATGAATGGTGGAGACGTAGCACCGAATTTATTTCTACATTGAACAATGTAAAGTTTATCACAAACTGCACAAAAATGCATACAAATCAAACTCAAAGTTCAATGTGTAACAGATAAAGTACAAAATTAGATTAATTAATGCAAGTCAATTGTTAGTATGCTTGGGATTATTTGTAAAATATATTAGTCTTATTACTGAATTTTTCATAAACTCCTACATACTTTACTAACAGTTCACTTTTAATCAGATATTAAAGGGATAGTTCACCCAAAAATGAAAATTAGCCCATTATTTATTCACCCTCAAGGCATCCTATGTGTATATGACTTCCTTCTTTCAGATGAATCCAATCAGAGTTATATTTAAAATTGTCTTTGATCTTCCAATTTGTTTAATGGCAGTCAGCGGGTGTACATAGAGAGCAGGTCCTACCAGATCAAAGTTACAAATGGTCATACAAAAATGATCAAACAAAAAACTTTAACATTTAGTTTTTTGCATAGTAAAGAATTTCAGTACTAGTCCTAGCAGATAAAAATGAATCATATCTCCAATACTGTATGCACTCTTGTGCACTTATTTGCAGCCTATTTATTTAGGACTAAACAGTGATTTTGACCTAGTTTTGGATATCTGAGATACAGTTTGAGATACAACAGTGGCGACTGGTTTTTTTCAAAAGAGGTGAAGCACAGATCTCTGTTATTAATGGCACAGTGTTTTTAAAAGTTTGATTTAGTATAAAAAGTAATTAACTTAAATAACTAAAGAACTCAAAAAAACATTTACAAATAGAAGATAAGCTGCAAAACTTCTTCATCGCTGTAACATGAATAAGGAAGGATAGGTACCCAAACAAATGCAATACCCCTAGGGTGTAATATCCTTTGCTGCAGGCTCTAAAATAAGTTTGTTTCTAGTGTGACCATCCTTTAAATCTGCTCCCATTGTTTTCAAATACCTTGATATTTTCTGAGCTCTTCAGTCCACAGGCTGTCAGTCTCATAATGTCTCTCATCATGAATAAACACCACAGTTGAAGCTCCTGCATCATCTGCATTCTGTATCAGCTCCTGATATTTTATTAGATAATTATTATTGACAGATGATATATAAGGTGCATACCATTTGATGCAAAATGATTCATGCAATATGTACATATTTTTTTTTATTTTTTTTTTACCTTGGTCAAATCGCCTGTCAATCAAGTTCTTTGCAAACGGTCAATTATTCGTGTAATATGTAAAGGGGTTTTTTTGTCTTTTTTTTACCTACCTTCAATATTTGTCCCCCATCTGGGTACCTTCTCAAAATTTCTTTCAAGTAATCAATGAATGGTGGAGACGTAGCACCGAATTTATTTCTACATTGAACAATGTAAAGTTTATCACAAACTGCACAAAAATGCATACAAATCAAACTCAAAGTTCAATGTGTAACAGATAAAGTACAAAATTAGATTAATTAATGCAAGTCAATTGTTAGTATGCTTGGGATTATTTGTAAAATATATTAGTCTTATTACTGAATTTTTCATAAACTCCTACATACTTTACTAACAGTTCACTTTTAATCAGATATTAAAGGGATAGTTCACCCAAAAATGAAAATTAGCCCATTATTTATTCACCCTCAAGGCATCCTAGGTGTATATGACTTCCTTCTTTCAGATGAATCCAATCAGAGTTATATTTAAAATTGTCTTTGATCTTCCAATTTGTTTAATGGCAGTCAGCGGGTGTAGCAGTTCATCAGTCCAAAAGAAGTGAAATAAAGTGCATCCATCCATAATAAAAAAGTGTCTCACACGGCTCCGGGGGGTGAACAAAGGCCTCCTGTATTGAATCGATGTATTTTTGTAAGAAAAATGTCCATATTCAAAACGTAATAATCACTTTAATCTAGCTTGCGCCAACAGTTGTACACGGAAGCAGCTCCGGGAGGATGACGTAAGATGTCGGCGTTGCGCATGTGCCGGTGAGTCTCGTGAAAACCAACGTTTGTTTACACGACTTACAGCTTTTAAAGTTTCTTTACAAATCCTCGTTTTGTACTTCTAATAAGTGACCGTTGTTCTGTTTTGATCTCTCCCGTGCGTTTCCGCATGCGTCACTTCTGAGCAGCGCATGCGCAACACCAACGTCTTACATCATCCGCCCAGAGCTGCTTCCGTGTACAACTGTTGGCGCAAGCTAGATTAATTTGATTATTACGTTTTAAATGTGGTTATTTTTCTTACAAGGCCTTTGTCATTTTCTAATTTAAATTTTTGGGTGAACTAACCCTTTAAATTGGCTTAAACATAAAACATGCAGTGAATAAAATCACTTACTTCTTTTTCTTCTTTTGCCTTGATGCTGAACTCATTGTCTTTCTTTTACAGTCTCCTGTGTGGTTAAAAAAAAGCTGTTTAAAAAAACAATTAACTTTCAGAAATCTTAAAAGATGCATTCCTTTGAACAGTTGTTCTTATTCCATTGCCATTGTTATAATATATATATATATATTTTTTTCCATGTAGTAGTTTGCACTGCTTTCTTGGGTCTCTTGTGGCCTATAGCTACAAAACAGTTCACCTTGCAAAATCTGCAAAATATTAATAGTTTAAAAAATGTAAAAGCGTTTATAAAAATAGATTTTTTTCCCCGTACTGCCCAGAATAAGCTATTTCATAAAACAGATGTATACGTATAGTCCAAAAGGCAAAATAATTATTGAATTTACACAAACCAATCTGTTCAAAAGTTTACATATACACTTGATTCTTAATATTGTGTCTCATAACCTGGATGATCCATGACTGTTTTATGTTTTTTATTAGTTTTTCATGATTCCATTGTTTGTCTTGAGCAGTTCAACTTTCTACTGTTTTCTACCATCTTCTGAATACTTACCCCTCCAGTTCTACTCTGCTCTGATCAGGATTTGAACCAGTGTTTCCGGCATGGGAGGAGGGCTCTCTAAATGAATGTACATTCTGCAATGTGTCACATGTACACTTTTTTTTTATCATATCTTTCTGATATTCAAAGGTCTCTTAAGCCTTCTACAAACGGTGTGATTTCTTCAATCTTATAAGAATATTACAGATTACATTCACACTGTGCAACATGTATCTGATAAACTTGGGTACGACATGCATGTAGACTGTACGATGATGACATGTGCTAGTGGTAAACAAAAAGAGCATGACGAATCACAGTTTGGTAGTTGTACTTTTTATGTGTGCTGAAAAAAAGAAGAAGCTGCAAAAGAGGAAGGGAAAATAATTTGAGGTAAGCAGTTTTAAATTTTAGCACCATGTCGCTGAACAACACACTGTTTTCTACCATCTTCTGAATACTTACCCCTCCAGTTCTACTCTGCTCTGATCAGGATTTGAACCAGTGTTTCCGGCATGGGAGGAGGGCTCTCTAAATGAATGTACATTCTGCAATGTGTCACATGTACACTTTTTTTTTATCATATCTTTCTGATATTCAAAGGTCTCTTAAGCCTTCTACAAACGGTGTGATTTCTTCAATCTTATAAGAATATTACAGATTACATTCACACTGTGCAACATGTATCTGATAAACTTGGGTACGACATGCATGTAGACTGTACGATGATGACATGTGCTAGTGGTAAACAAAAAGAGCATGATGAATCACAGTTTGGCAGTTGTACTTTTTATGTGTGCTGAAAAAAAGAAGAAGCTGCAAAAGAGGAAGGGAAAATAATTTGAGGTAAGCAGTTTTAAATTTTAGCACCATGTCGCTGAACAACATGCCATTTCATGTTGCACTGTTATTGGCTGGTCAGTAAACGTAGGTCGTAGCAGGAAACACACTGTGCGCTGATCATGCTGAACTTCTGACACTGTCAGAAAATGATCGTATAGGCTATCTTTGGTCACAAGACTGTGACAACAGCCATCTTTGAACCTCTCTCATTGTACGACATAAGACCACCGTTTAGGGTCCACGATCACAGAAATCGCCACAATTGTTTCACGATGACAATCTTTCATCTAGGACAGTCGAAAATCATGCAGTGTGTCCTGTGTTTTACAGCCCTCCTCCTTAGGGTCACCCTTCAATTCCTTTATACTGTATTCAGTCACCACAGAAAATGAGTATACTTCAAAAATGTCAAATATCTTAAGTTATAGGCTAACTGCTTTTATACTGTCTTGTAAGGAACTGTTATTATATGTCAGGGTCCTGCCGTGACAGTCTTGTCACTGTTTAATGTTTCTTTCTTTGTCCTGTGCTTAAGCACTTTGTCTTTGTTTGTGTTGCTATGTGCTCCTCTTGTCTTGCCCACTTGTTTAATTCTTGTTGGGCTGATTGTGTTCACCTGATCCTCTGTTCCCTATTATATATATATATCACAGTTATGTTCTAGCGTACATGTCTAAAGTATATCAAAAAGAATAAATCAGTCTTATAAACTCCTTGATTTAACTTATAATCTGCATGCACAATAAACTATAGTAAAATTTATTTCTATTTTATAAGAAAATTTCTTGCAAGTTTTAATAAAATGTGATTTAATAGCATGTGTCCAGTACATGCCTCAGGCTTGCATAGTATTCTCAAATCACTTATCGGACTCCTTAGTAATCCTCCTTAGATCCTGAACCTGCTCATTATGTTATTTTTTGAGTCAGACATGCTACTTCAGCTGTGTGTCTTGATTCGACAACGCGGAAATAAAGTTCAATTCATTTGTTCCCTGTCTTGTGTTGTATAATTTGCATTAAAAAAAAGTTCTATTCAGTTCATTTTGTGAACCCACTCAACCGGTTACTTCCCTGAGAACCATCTCAAAAGAACTATTCGTTCAAGAATCAAATATCACTATTCCATGCAATTTGACATTTTTTTTGTGCAAGTTTCAGATATTTATTCCTAGTTTTATTTTGCATTTGTTTTGTTTCTCTAGTCATAGTTTTTCACATCAGGTTTTATTTTGCCTCTTGTTTCATTTATTACTTTCTCTCTCGTGTCATGCCTTGTGTCAACACCTTGCGTCCAGTGTTGCCAATTTGGGGATTTTGTCGCCAAATTTAGCTACTTTTTCATTGTAGCTGCGACTTTTTTTATGCAACGAGGAGCTATTTTACCTATATTTAAATAAAACTAGCGATTTTTTGGAGATTTTTTAGTTTTTACTTGGCCACACCCTGCCGTAGGCCCGTGACCTCTCACGTTTGCTCTCAATCATGCCAACGAGTCTGCTGCAGTGAACACAGTACGCCACGCCTGCCATGATGCACACCACAATTTCATTATAAGCATCAATCAAGATGCCAGAGAAAAAAATTGACATCTTGTTTTAACCACGGACACAAAAGTTATACCACAATTCATGCACAGTCATGTCAGCCAGATACTGAGAGAGAGAGACAGTGCATCATTGTGTCATGTGTGCTGGGATGCAGTATTTTGCACTTACTTTGTAGTAATAGAGTGTGTTGACTGAAATAAGTTTGTATGAATAAAGTTTTTGTTTTTGGAGAATCATAATATCTCTTATCTGTTGTATTTGAGCAGGACAAGGATGCACTTTGGTGACACAAAACAAATTCCCAACATTGTGTCTTTCCATCATTTCCATCATGTTTGATGTGCTTGCAGATCACAAGCATTTCCTAATTTCACTTCAGAATTTTTTGTTATATTTAATCTTTTGTTATATTTTTTATACTGTTATCATTTGTAAAGTATACATATATATTTACTTTACCTGTATTTACTTTGTTTTCATATTTGGCGACTTTTTGTGAAAAATGGAGACTTTTGAGAGTGGTTCTAGAGATTTTCTTTGGCAACACTGCTTGCATCTTGTCTTGTTCATTGTGAGTCTTGTGTTCATTCCTGCCCCGCCCTGTATCCTGATGTTTCCTGGCCACTGACTCTCACTGCCTGGCAACATGACTGGTGTATCTGTGTGATATAATTAAGTGTCAAGCCTCTGGCTCTGTGAGCCTCTACCTAGAAGCAAGACTGGTTCTACATCTGAGAAATCAAGCTTATGGTTTCTGCATGGTCTTCCCCGCCATTATCCTGCTTGGTACTCCCTCTTCCTCCACAGCCCTCAAGCCTGTTGTCAGACTGGTCTCAGTGGTCACCCTCCCTGCCTGTCGTCTGCCCTTCCCTATACTGTTTGCACTGTTTCACACCTCACTCTCCTTGTTGTGCTCTGTGTACAGTCTTATCAATAAAACACCATCACTACTCAATCCGGGTCCTCTCTCTTGCAGATCCGTAACAATATATTTCTTCCTTTCTTATCGTTTCATATTTAGCTAGGAGTTAAATTGAAGAGGAGTTAAAAAAAATAGCATAAACTGCTAGTTACATTGTTTCTCTTTTTCAAAATGTTTACAATGTTTACATTGTTACATTGTTTCAAAATGTTGCCATTTACTTACCCTCAAGTTGTTCCAAAATCTCATGCAGATGAGTTTCTTTCTACTGCTAAACATAAAATAAGATATTTTGAAGAATGTTGGTAACCAAACAGTTAGCCATTGACTTCTAGTATTTTTTTTTTCATACCAAGTCAATAACTACCATCAACTGTGTGGTTAACATTCTTCAAAATATCTTCATTTGCAATCGTTGCATATTTCATCGTATATTTTCTTTTTATGTTTTTTTTTAAGACATATAAATTAAGATATTTGTTTCCCAGAACACGATATAAAATCACTTGTGGACTATATTACCTAAAGTAGCGTATCACATGCTAAATGAATGAATGAATAAATAAATAAATAAAAATATAATACAACCACATTTTGCAGAACTGCAAGCCAAACCTCTAAACTGGTATGAAAGGAACTCAATAAATGGAAGTAGTATAAACCTTCAGAAGTTGTTTGCTTATGCCTTGCATCAGCCAAAATAGAACAGAAATAGAAATATTGTTATGTTATATTAGTTTAATATTATAGCCTATTACTAAATATTAATATAACTAAAAATTGCATTTCAAAAACTCATGTAACTTCTGCATGAGGTTTTCTCCTACCTTTAATGGTCCTTATGGGTCATGATGATGCTTCCACTCCTACCCGCAGAATGAAAGCAAAGCGATCAGAAGCACACAGTTAAACCCTCTCAGTGCGCACAATTCGAACTGGCAGACGCAAAACAGGCTCTTTCCGGAGAATGGAAACCTAGAGAACTCTAGGTTTCCGTTCTCTGGAAAGAGCCTGTTTTGCGAAAATGAAACTTACCCTCCTCCTTCACGCTAAGTTCAATGAATGACTCCGGAAAAAAATAACTGTTTTCACGCAGAGTATCTCCGAATGTACAAAACTCTCAGGAATACTTGAAAACAAAAATAGTATGTTGCGTGCGCCTTTAGGGCACTTTGTATTTTTAATCAATGTCAGTTATTCTCAAGATCAGCTCCTTTTAATGCAGCAGATAATCAGGCATTTAAAAACGTTAAATATTTTTCAGTTAAACGAGCGCCACAGAAATTATGGCGAGGGTGATGATGTACGACTATCGAAAGAGAAAACACCTGAACAGAAATAATAATAATAATAATAATAATCATACTCATATTAGGTCTACTATACAATAAATAAATAAATAAACAAACAAACATATGAAAGCCTTTCCCCTGATAGCACACATACATCTCGGAGACGTCTATTAGACGTCTGCATTTCCATCTGCAAGACGTATTTTTTAGAGAGTTTGCTCATCTGCAATACGTCTATAGGACGTTTCCTTTTAGATGTCAAATAGACGTCTATTAGATGTCTTTAAGATGTTTATGATTTAGAATGTATGTAAAACTGACATCTGGAAGACGTCTGTCAGATGTTTGTCCAAAGCAGATGCTTTCCAGACCAAGAGATCTTTAACAGACATCTTGCAGACGTACATTATAGCATCTTAATGTATTATGATTTACGGTGGCAAAAATTAATTTAATGAGAGTGATTTTGCTGAAATCTGTGTTTACCCTCCCAGATAGCACATGTCTGCAAGATGTCTGTTAAAGATCTCTTGGTCTGGAAAGCATCTGCTTTGGACAAACATCTGACAGACGTCTTCCAGATGTCAGTTTTACATACATTCTAAATCATAAACATCTTAAAGACATCTAATAGACGTCTATTTGACATCTAAAAGGAAACGTCCTATAGACGTATTGCAGATGAGCAAACTCTCTAAAAAATACGTCTTGCAGATGGAAATGCAGACGTCTAATAGACGTCTCCGAGATGTATGTGTGCTATCAGGGCTATTTATTAAGGCATAAGTAAACAGAATTGTAAGTAATGTTCTTGCCATTAGACAACTTTTATTTTGATAGCATACAGGCTGCTTAGGCTACTCTATGGCTTCCACGAAGGCGAGAAACTGATTTCCGTACACACTAGTACCAGTGATAGCATCTCTGTCAGTTCGTGTGATTTTCGCAAAGACCTGAAATGCATGACATGTCGCCATCCTACATTAATCTCCGTTCATCTGCGGTGATTTAGAGTATACTAGAACCACACGGACAATCTGACGCGAGATATGCAGTGAATAATGTAGCGAAGAGATATTAATAAAAACGTAAGTTATGTTTTTGGAGGAAACGGTGATGAAAGGGGTGAGTGTGCATGTCCTGTCCTCAAAATGTTTCCAATTTTTAACTCACCCTTGCGTCACATTCATTTTTGCTTGTCTTGTTATATAACTGGGCGTGGTATTTATATATATATAGATATTATATTGTTAGATAACCGCGAGAACATCCTCAGCTGTGATTGTTTGCTGTTGTTTTGACATATTTTGTTTTTTTTGATGACAGTGACGGTCCTCGAGACAATTTTCCAGGAAGGAGAAAATATAAATCAAACCTGCTGTACTCAGCAATATAAAGTTATAGTATGTTTTATAAAGCTGTTATCATGATCTGTTTTTTCTAGACGAAAGCACTATATTGGCTACACATATAAATCTTGAGACATGGGACAAAACAGGTCCAGCAAGGGTAACTGCTATTAGCTTTAAAAATATATATTTTTTAAATGTCATGAGAAGGGTTCAATCATTCATATGCAATACAATGGATACAAATGTTTTTTAATGATGAAAAAGAGCTTGTTTTATCAAAAGCAACACTTAATAATATCTCCTATCAAAGCAAGGTTGTTTTTTAATGACACATGCATGTTTCATAAGATTTTAAAGTTGCGTCCCCACTTTTGTCAACACCGTCAGACATTCAATAAAATGTAATAAAATCAGGGAATATCAGGGGCAGCGGTCACTCTAAAGGACCCCCTTGCCACAGAGTACAGCAGTGTCAGACAGGCTCTGCTAAGTTTTAGTTCTAGAATATTTTAAATCCTAATGTTAATATTTCCCGTGTCACAGCCATGATATGTCAACACCATCATTATTTGAAATATTTAGATCATTTTATTTTCCTGAAACAGGTCCCATTAGCATCTAGCATCAACAGAAACAAATAAAATGCTACTACATGAACTCCATTGGTTTTGTGAAAGAAATGCCAAATTTGTCAACCCCGTCAGATGTCACCACCATAAGATCTTGTGTTCCAATGATATATCAAAATACTTAAATGTGATTCTTGAATAAAAGCTTTATAAACAATAACATACTCACTGTTTGTTGTGTTTGTTTTAATACAGTAATTGACTGATTCAATGTATTTGATAGTTAAAATGACTACAAATTCAGGTTTTCGTCACCTCCGTCAGTTGAATATTTTGATAATATTTCATTATGATATTTTATATTTGTTGTGGAATTGTCGGTCACATGTGAACGTGTAATCTGTCTGCTAACACGAGAATGTGTTTTGAAATGTTAAAAACATCTTGAATGCTGTTAAAGATAAAGCTGAAATTATTTTTCACAGTCCAAGCTAAAAAAAAGCACATTTTGTTAAAAAAGAGAAAAATTGGGAGGTTGTATCAAAGCATAGCTCAGTAGCTTAGTACATATAAGATACATAAATGTAGTTTCATTTGTCTGAGTACAAGGTTTTATTTTTTCAAATTTGCACCCTGTTTTGTCCCACTTCTCAAGAATGACTGCGTTATAATCTGTGTGTACTGTACATGCACAATAAGGAATTACACAATGCCCGCTACAGACTGGCCAATAAAAACATAGGTTCCTGGAAGTGTTTGTAAAACTGGATAATACAAACTTCCTGGAAGTGTTTGTATTGGCCAGTCTGTAGCAGGCATTGTAATTTCTTATTGTGTATTTGTGTCCTGTACAGTATGTCACACTCAGATTATAATGCATTAATTATGCGTGTATATTTTAAGATAGTGCTTTCATCTAGCAAAACCAGATCATGATAATTGCTTTATAAAACATACTATAGCTTTATATTGCTGAGTACAGTGGGTTTGATTTAAATTTTACACATCTTCTTCCTGGAAAATTGGCTTGAGGACCGTCACTGTCATCAAACAACCAAAATATGTTCAAACAACAGCAAACAATCATAGCTGAGAAGCCACATCTACTACTATGCATAGGGGAAAGTGGGGTGAGTTGTGCCAGTTTTTACTCAAAGTGACTTTAAAGTGAGGACATGACAGTAATGCCTTTCACTTTAGAATGTACATATATTTCAGGATGTGGTGCATCCCTGAGAACAATAACTTTGGATCTGAAATAAATTGTTTCAGAAATATAGCTTTTGGGAAAAAAGTGGTTTCGTGGCACAACTTGCCCCTGGTGCAGGGTAAGTTGTGCCTTTTGGGAGAATACGTTGGGGTAAATTGTGCCAGTGATTTCTGAAGTAAAACAGAACATTTTAATGTTATGAGCTGTAATGCTATATGAAAGCAAGACAAATTCAATACAAAATTACTAATTTAAGGTTTATTTAGATATTGTCACCCTATTAAACTGTTGGAATAAGTCATATTTTGTAGTTTTTGGGAAAACAAACTTAAATACACAATATATGATATTTGTGAATCATTTCAGGCAAAAATTCTTTAGCAATAGATGCCTGTTGACATACATAGAATGCTGTCTGTCAATTATGTAACATATAAGAATAAAGTGACTAGGCTAATTTCTAAACATGTAGAATGACCTATGGACCCTGCAGGTGATCCATTCATGAATGATTCTTTGAAACGAACACGAGGGAAAATAAACATTGGATTGGATTGCATTTCGAGTGGCATTTACTGCACAGGCCACAGTGACAAGCTCTCCTCTTTCAGCTGATGTAACTGAACCCACTTGTTTCTTCCCTTTCTCTGTGACAATCTGCTTGGGTGTCTGCACTGTAGTCACACCAGTTTCGTCCATGTTGTACATCATGTGTGGAGGGAAGTTATACCTGAAATGAGATTATGGAGGTGGTTATGTGTGTAAATGTAAATTCTGCTACTCAGGGCAGAAGACCCTATAGAGATGCGCCCTCTTTCCTTCCCTGGCTGCCTCGTCTGTGTGTCATGCCATGTGTCTCTCTTCTTTGGAGGATGAGTAAAATGGATGGCTTTTCAAAATGATGTGGTCACATGACCAATTTCTTCTATGGTTTTCCAGAAACAAGGGGTGGAACTACTTCCCCCCTGGCACAAATCACCCCACTCTCCCCTAGAGGTACTATGCTCTCCCCTCCTTTATTAAAGGGTTAGTTCACCCAAAAATTAAAATTAGGCTGCGTTTTACTCACCCCCGAGGCATCCTAGGTGTATATGACTATCGTCTTTCAGACGAATCCAGTTGGAGTTATATGTTTTTGTAAGAAAAATATCCATATTCAAAACGTAATTATCACTTTAATGAATCCTCTGACATTCTTCTTTACAAATCCTCGTTTTGTACTTCTAATTCTTGACCATTGTTTTGTTTTGATCTCTCCCGTGCGTTTCCGCATGCGTCACTTCTGAGCGGCGCATGCGCAAAGCCGACCTAATACGTCATTCCCCCGGAACTGCTTCTGTTTACAACAGTGAGCGCAAGCTAGATTCAAGTGATTATTACGTTTTTAATATGGATATTTTTCTTAAAAATGCATCGATTCATTACAGAAGGCCTTTGTTCACTGCCCGAAGCCGTGTGATCATCGAAACACACAGCGTCTTTACGACATGGCGGCGGTGGCAACAAT